AATGCCGAGATGCTCCTGATCCATATTGATTAGCTTCATTTCATATTCGGCGAGTTTGTCTTTGTTCGGGGATTCGAATATAAAAACGATAGATTCGGGATTATCCCACGCCCTGAGGGTCACTGTATCTTCCACACCAGCGCATCGTAGGATCTTTGACATACTGAAAAAGCATTTTTTTAAATTACACTCCCTCCGCAGTCCTTTTTCTTTCTTTCGTCTCGAATCTGTTGTATGTACGTATTTAGTTCATTTTAAAGTGTCTAAAATATAGAGAGACAGCCAAAAGAAAGGAAAGTACTCCATCCTTAGTAATTCTATTTTTTTTCTTTAAGAAGATTCCTCGCATTATAACCTTAAAAATTGTCGAAATTCGACTCACCAATTGATGCTCATGCCCATCGATAAATTCCGGTCGCAACGATACTTGTCGAAGCCATCGCTCCTGAGATTCAACGAGACCAGGGAAACGTGAGCGTTGTCCATCGCCTGGAGCTGAATCCCCGAGTCTGAGCATTCGAACGTCGCTTCTGTTAAAAGATCCTTTACCGCGTCCAACACCTTCTTCAGGATCGCGCTCTGTACCAGACGTGCCTCAAACATACTGCCGTTTGTTTCTGCTTGATAGATACCGTATACTCGAGCTTTGAGCAGAAAAAATGTAGAAAAATCGTATGCGGCTCTTGTAAAATGAATCAACTAAAGCAACACAAAGCAACAGGCATTCTCACGGCTTTGGAAGACAATTACCCGCCTTTTCTCGTCAGTTAAAACGGAAATAGATGGCATTCTTGAATTACTAAAGATGTCCACATCCGGTATTCAAACGTCATCGCAATGCATATAATATGCTATTATATACAACAGAAGAAACAAGTTTTTCACATTATGATTTTATATATATATATATAACTCTTGTTTAATAAAAAAAATTGCGAGCGATAATGGGATCCGCAAGTACTTCAAGAAAAATAATATAAAATTATAAGAATATATGAGACGCGAATATATATATATATATATATATATATATATACATAAAAAGAATCATCATTTGTAAAATATTAAATACTATATTTCTGCAATTCGGCAAGCTCGTAGTTTTTTTAGTTATAATTGACATTGTATATTATTGGCAATTATGGATACGTAGAAAATGCAGTATTGATGTATTTGTAGCTCTTTTTCACTATTCACTAAATTGGGCTATTGAATATAATGACGTATAGATTAATTACTACAGAGAGAATACACAAAATAATAATTTTAATAATACAATAGCTTACATAATTTCGCACTTAAGCTTGAATATAGTTCATTGAAAATCATTGGAAAAAAAATGATAATTACAAAATGCTTAAACACGACTCTGCAATTGCTTATACTACCGTATTTAAATACATGCAGTCTCATTTGTTTATATTACGTAACTACTGATATTTACATATTACATATGAAATTAATCTTCATAAAAATCGGGTCAGCATGATACACGAGCATTAAAACGATATATTATTCAATGCTCCAAAAAACCTATATCGCCTGTCATATTCTCCAGTTCGCTGAACATTTGATCGAGGTGCTGAAATAAGACGGCATATCAAATTCTTGTGTTCTGAGTAAAGAATTATATTGACCAACTAGTAAATCGATCTTAATATGTAAATCTCTAATTAATAGAAATAATTGATCACCCTTATACTTACATCGGTTGATTCATCTTCATCATCTTCATTATCTTGTAATGTTTCCGATGGCTTATCGCTGAACATTATATTTCCATCATCATCGATATCCTCGTCTTCAAAGTCTTCCTCATTATCACCCTCATCATCGTCAGTGTTATTCGGCTCCTCGTCGTCATTGTCATCGTCATCGTCATCATCCAATTGCATATTACACGATACATATTGCATACTACAGTCCATTTCTTCATATTCTAGAGGTTCCTCTTTGATCTCACTAGCATCTTTGATCTCACTAAGCATCATCGTTTCTTCGACAGCATCTGTCTCGGTTGGACTGCTTGGTGGTGGAGCTTCAGATGCTGAAGGTATCTGAAGAGGTTGCGACGTCTATACAAAGGAAACATTATTAAATCGTTTTTTATAAAAAAATAGTATACGAATTGATTTAATTGCAATATATATAACACAATATATATAACACAATTTAATAACATTGATTTTATATCTATTTTATTATTTGATTTTATATCTATTACCCAGGGTTGCTGTTGTTGTTCTTGTGCTGTTTTAGCCGACGTAATAAAAGTCGGTAATGCAGAGGAATGAGAGTTTGTGTTTTGTTCCTGAACTTGCAAGGTTGGTTTATTTTGTGCTTTATTGGAATTGTCTTGCAGTCGCGCTTCAACGTTATTTGCATCTTGATTCGTCAACGATTTATCCGCGTGATTAATCTTATCATCTTTCTTCATTTGATTGGCATTGTTCCCTTCATCCTTCAGTTTCTTGACGTTAGGCTTCAATTCAACATGATTTGCACTTTGTTCCTTTTTCACTTGCGCAGCATTACTTGATTCTTCTTTAACTTTCTTAACATTAGGCTTAGGTTCTCCAGGAAGACAAGCGTTACCTCGCTGCCGTCTAAATCTAACAATAATACTCCTTGTGTCCCACATCAAATCATGCGCCTGTTTATAAGCTGTTATTGCTTCATCTACGCTATTATATCTTATAAAAGCATATCTGTAACAAGATGCAGAAGTATTGTAAGCATAAAATCGAAAAAAATAATAATCCTATCATATCGACTATATGAATAAACAATATATATATTTATATATAATACAGAAATGTATCTCATAACTAACCGAGTATTCCTCATCTTCTGCGCATATCCTACATCTACTCGTGCTGTTGGAAATTTGCTTTTAACCTCGTTTACATTAACAGATTCGGGCAAATTTCCTATATATAAAGTATAGGGATCTATCTCTTCAGGCATCGGATTATCCTCGTCTCTTAACGACTTTCTCTCGACTTTCAGATTGCCTACACCAAACTGAATTTTCTCCAAATCTTTTATAGCTTCGTCGATATTCACATTCTCTGCCATCTGGATGAAACAGTATCTCGGCCCGCTTGGACTTTGAAAATGTATGTTTTGTATACCAGGATGAAATAATCTAACAATGTCTTTATTTAAATCTGGGTCAGGAAACTTAATTATTAAGCTCTGTGCATTAATTTTATTTTTCTTGTTATATTCGTTTTCAGTCTTCAAGGCTCTTTCTGCGTCCTCTCTGTTCCATGGTCTACTGGGATAACTTTGAGACATTGGTTTCCTTGGTTTATTCTTCTTTACTACAACTTCCTTCTGAAAAATTTCATCGTATTACCTTCAAAATTTATGCAGTACTTAAAGCATAATCACCGTACAGTTTTCACATCTCGATCCTCTGTTTCTTCGCTATGTCTGTTGGTCACAATTCCTGGTGGAATGGGAGGTATAGGATGATTAGGTAGAGGTACAGTTATGTGGTTTATTATAGCGTCATTTGCTGTCGCGGTGTAATTATTTCTCTGCCATTCTAAGCCAAGACTACCTGTCAGTGTCGCCCCAAAGTATGCGGCCTGATCGAATTGACCCTGCGACTGTCCGAATCGCGCCAACCTTCTATTTTTACGATGAAAGTTATTCCTCTGAACATACATATTGCTTCTATTGTGAGTAAACCGTTCACGACGTACATAGTTACCTCTTAGAGGCATTTCTCTTTGAAAAGTATTAGTAATTTCACGCGGAGTTGGTGGTGGTAAAGGAGACGTTTGTGGTGTTATCCATTGCCATGGAGCATGCGGATGTGCCCATGCTTGAATGGGAGCCACTTGGGAAGGCACTGGTCCAAATACATGAGGCGGAGGTGGAACTCCACTGGGTGGAGGTGGCATAGGTGGCAAGGGCGGTTGACCTGGTAAAGGTTGAGTGGAAGGAGAGGACGACGATGAAGTATAATTGGCATACGAGGAAGCATCGTATCCAAAATTTATAGACTCTTGTTTGACAAAGGTCTGTTTGGCTTCATTGTCTTTTTCTGATACCTGAAAAATTAGAAAGTCATGAATTAAAACAAAAAGAGAGACTTGCGAAATTTACAAATATATACACAAATATATACAATTGGGAAGCGTTCGTTTTATCGCACGAATGATATCGGAGCGATCAAGTATGTAAACATTGTCAGCATTGACAAGCTAACCTAAATGAATATCGTTGAAAAATAATTTAAAAAAATCCCAAGGCATCAGACGACGGAGAGGACAGACATTACCGCGCGAATCAAGAGGTGACGCTTCATACTGCATATATACTCAGTTCGCCCTTATAAGGTAACAGTGTTTCCCGAGTTACAATGTAAACACATTGTAGCGCGAGTATGAGTACATACACATGTACATATAACGAATATATACACAGGAAAGAGAGAGACAGCCCAGGGATACCAACCTCCGCGCGACAATTTTTGCAAGAAATAAATAAACAAGAACGACCCTGACCCGACCCTGACGCGAAATTACGGTTATGCAATTCATTATATGCAGACGCATCGCGTCCCCCCCGCGTCTGTCTCTCCCGCATTAAATATCCCCGTGTTCCTCCGTTTTTTTTTTCCGCTCGAGCTACATATTGATCTGCAACATGTCACGCGAATACACGACGACTGACGTTACACACGCGGACGCAGACATAATGGTATATGCGATGATAGACGATATATTACACTTGATTTCACAAACATTGACACGCACAAAATACATACTCTCTTCATTATCATCTTTTCACATCGCGAACCTTGCACGATCCCGTTGCGTTGGCTGACCACGCGCGTACGATTTCCGCGACTTCGCGAGGGGTACACCTACACCGTAGTGATCGTGCGGGCCTTGCGCGCGCGATTGATCGTCGGATTCAAATTCCCACTTCAATACACGATACACTTGCGCTCGCGTTTTCACGTGTACTACGTACTACCGCCTACCGCCATTGCCGATCAATAGCTCGAATCTCCACCGCGCGACTCTCGCACTCTCGCAAATGCGTACGTGACAATAATAATAAAAAGCGTGGAATTTGATTGTTTTCCGCTTGCGTATCTCCGTAGAAACATGTGTATATGTCATTAACCATCATAATAATCGTGATTCAGAACTGCGATTGGCAATTTGAAATCTAAATAAATATTTTTCATGTGCAAAAGATTCGAAAACAAATTGTACGTAAAATTAAATTAATCGATAAAAACTTGGTTTTGATCTTACAATATAAATAAAGCTCATTCGCATCGCAGAAGGTAAGAAAGTGGAACAGCTGTCCATTTTCTTCCAAATTTGTCCGAAGACAGTGCGAACAGTCGGATATCGAATAGAGCGTCAGCAGAGACAGAGACAGAGAGAGAGAGAGAGAGAGAAAGAGAGAGAGAGAGAGAGAGGATGAGAGTCCACCTCTCTATCGAAATATAATCAAAATGCAATCCAAATATAAATCCAATGAGAAAATTTATTTTTTAGGAACTTCGATTAATTCCAGAATATACATGTCCGAAAGAAAGTCGGGCGCATTCGAGACTTGAGCTTCTTATCTAGATATATTTGTGCATCATGACCATTAAGTAAAAAAAAAATTAAAACTATAATTAATTAATTCCAATTACATAATAAGATTTATTTTTTAATTTGACGCGTGTTTATCTATACATATCAAATGCTTACAGATATATCTTACTGCCAAATCTCTTTTTTTTCCCCATAATTTTTTAATAACATGCATGGTGTTCTATATTCATACCGAATTTTATTACAAAAAATGTACAGATGTTAGTAACCAAATAATAAATATACACTTTTTTCCTCCCCCTCACAGCGTGTCTTATAAATTTCTTGCACATGCGTGTGTGTGCCATTTAAATTAAATGATATGACAGCCACCACATCAGAATGGGTTGTATACCAGCTAAGAATAGTATAAAGTAAAGTCGCCTCTTATTTCCAGAGGCTGTATACGAATTATGGCCTTGCGGAATGACTCTTAACTTTAACGATCGCATCAGAAAGACAGCTAGAGAAATGCTAAAATATAGTAGCACCGCGTAATAGCCAAATTTTCGAAATAACAACGATATCATTAAGGCTACGTTAATACCAACATATTTGTAACCGCAATACGCCAACAAGTCTAATGTTGTTAGACTCGTTTGAAGATTCATCACATACAGGCTTATAGTATGAACGAGCAATTCAATCAAACCCCAACCTAGAGCGGTGCTAGCCAAGATACCTAATTGCTCGTGACTGAAACGTTCGTGCATACCCAAAACTAATCCCGCTGTAGCAACATACGTGAAAAACGCCATTGTAGGAATATACATATCTGGTGCATTTTTCTCATATCGTGGTTGCAACGGTACGTCTTGCTCGTATTTCACAGACCAGTCCTATAAGAATTATTTAATTTGGTTAACACAATTGGCACCTTGATGAGACACTTTTTGTTTTTATAACATGTAAATTTTACGTAGATATATTTTCATATAAGATAGAGATAATAATAAAACTATTAAAATGCAATGTCTCTTAACTACAATATATTTGTCTCCTCCATAAGTATCCTAAAGGAAATTTACCTTATGTGTAAATGGGAAGAACAACAGCATTAACTTTGCGAAGACATAATCTGTGTTTACAGCAAAGTAATATTTCAATGCTGTAACTGGCACATATTTTTCAAAATGCTGTTTCCCAGTACCAACTAATGCATTTCCATACTGTACTGCCATGTCTGCAACCACTGGTTGAGCCAATAATTGCGTCGCAAATTGTGGACTTGCAAATTCCGCACTTTGAGTATTATCGAGTGGATAATTTGACATTTGCGGATTAAATCCATATGGTGATGGTGCCTGTCCAGAAACATTAAAGCCATATTCTGGCATTGCACCATTATTCACAGGCACCTAAAATTAAAAGCACAACAAATTAATTGAAAATTCAATGTGTGGTGTATGGTATATATATCATATGTGAAATATAAATCACATGCATTTTATAAAATTTACCTGTTGGTTATACATATACGGGCTCTGCGACATTGGAGGAGTTGGTGCAGGTAAACCAGCTGAAGGATCTAATAATCTCTTTGGCTTTCCTGTCAAATCACAATTAATTTTTACATAAAACAAATATAAGGATAATAAAATTAACTATTTTTGTAATCGTTATTATTTAAATAACAGTAATAAATATTACAATAAAATGTAATATATATATTCCATTGTTAATATTATTTATGAAAAAGCACATAATCCATATAATCATGTTTTCTCATTATATTCGTATAAGGTATATAAGATAAGAATTTTGAGGTGAAGAACGCTATATAGTATAACGAGAAGTATAATAGTAGAACAAAATTGAAAATTATATATCGGTAAGTATAAATATCTTGTACTAAAAACAGAAATATAAATTTAACTTAAGTTTACATCTGTCATTCGTAGGTTACACTCACCTCGACGTGCGTTCGAATGATTGTAATTCATGTTTAAATAGCTTTTCAACAGTTTTTCAACAGCTATTCACTCAGCAAGATAAGATATACTCCGCTCGCACCTACTCGATTCTTTCATAAGAATGAAAGAGATTAAGAACAATTTATATTACAAATATGTTGCCATGTTCTGCTCTTTGTCCGTCATTACGGAATATTCGTGGACTGACATTACTTCTGTCGTATGATGAGTATGACGTCCATTGGCTATTAAATAGAGAATTTCTAGAATATTTCAAAAGTTTCTTGAAATAGTAGCCAATCAGCCAATATCCGACAACTTGTCATATGGCAAATAATATCTGATATCCAATAGGAAGATTTATTTCCTAGGGACAAAAATATTCTTAACTAGAGTGTCTAATCGCTTGAACCTAACTTTCGATCATGTAATTTTTTCCCTAAGGCGGAAACGTGAAAAATTTTACCACATTGAAGTTAATGGCAAGATTTTCTCTAAATAAGATATTTTTTATTTAAAGATATAAGTTATGATTTAGATAAATTATATTACACTTTTCGCTTTCTCATAGAGGATGAAATTTTGTTTTGGTGACAAATTTTTTTCCAGTTTTCTATGGCAAATGGCAATGTATTTAGAATGTTCCAAAACGTCGAAAAATTATATTTAAAAAAAATGTCCATATGTATGTATGTATGTACGGAATGTATATTGTATAACCTCTAACTTCCGTAATTTTTGAGATATCGAGCTAAATTTTTTAAAATGAATAGAATATCATTAAAGGATGGTTTGAATTTTTTGAGAAATATCTGCACGCTATAACTTTCGCAAATTTTAAAAGATATCTTCCTCTATAAGGAAGCCAAAATTGAAAAATCCGCTTGCTTTTAAGGAGCTTAAGCTTTGTGAGTGAAATAAATGATGAGCAATGTGCAAGTTTCAAATTTGCACAATTTTCATCTTGTTTTTCTATTTTATTCGGATTAAAATTATTCAATGATTGACAAACTTTATCAATTAACACAAGTTTATTTTTTCGATGGTGAAAGCCGCTATTATACATAATTTTTTAACTAAGAACATTAATATCTATTAAATAATATACACATTTATTTATGCTTATATTTATTATAACTTAAATAGATACGAACACATATATATTATAAGCTATTTACCGTTACATATTCGTGTGCGATTCAACACAATTTATTCAACACAAATATTTATTTTAGCTATAATGCAGTTATAATTTTAATATTATAATATTAAAGTAAAATATTATAATGTATATTATAAAATGAATAAAATGCTATTTTTCACAAACATTTGATATTTATGCGAAATTTGTATGTATATAATATTTAATATGATATTATTATACTATTTATAAGAAAGTATGATAAAGAGAAAGCTATAGTTAGTAAAATAAAGTAGGATCAATGAGAAAAGAAAGAGCGATACGATAAATATTATACTGGAAATTGAGTATTTTTTCGATGATATAAAATATTCAATAAATTATTTCAATTATTTTTGATAAAAATAATAATTATTGAGCAATGTTTAAAAAGTCTTTAGTACTTTTATTTAGATAACATATATTAAGATTGAATTAATTTTATCATCAAAAATTATTCTGATATCACACTTATCGCAATTGATGCAGTACCATTACGAAAACATTTCAAATAAATGTTTACTCTGCACTTATCATATATCTTTCACTTTCCTATTAAAATAAGCGTCGCTTGAGTCGAAAATTATCCGAGAAATTATCTGATAAATCTTTTTACTTTTACAGCTGTATAGAAGTAAGAGACTCGTTTATGAAGTAAGTGAAATTGTTCGGTAGAAGGATACGAAAAAGAGTAATTAGAATAATCAGTCTTAGATAGAACTCTCGTCTCCTCTCACTCGTACGTATGCGACATCCCCATTTAACATGCAACACAAATATACGATCAGTATTAAGCTAAACTACAATGACGGGATACTTTCTATGCAACAATCCCTCCCGATGTTAGTGTTGTGCCTGTTCGTTCAAAGATAAACGTCAAGAATAGATACATAGCAAATGCGGCGGAACGAGATGAAATTATACGATGCGGTCGTTTTAAAGACCAGAAGCGGCCTCCAGCATATCGTTGTCTATCATTGATCTTATTGCCACTGTCACCGAATTATCGCAGTAACCGCTCGATATTAATCGTACGACTGTCACATCGTACGGCACAGGCTCTTTAATATCTGCAAAAAAAATTATAAAATACTTGATAAAATACTTAATTATTTAATTAAATACTTAATAATTAATTACTTAATTATTAATATTTATTATTGAGTATATACTACATTAATAATTAAGTATTTAATTATTACTTAATTAAATACTTAATTATTAATGTAGTATATTCTCAATAATAAATATTAACAAATCGCAAAAATGACAATGAAAATTTATGAACTTGATATCGGTTCTTTTCCAGGATGCTTTCAATTACAATTCCACGAGTGTGAAATGTTCCTTACTCGGTTTGGAATCGATGCCGCAGATGGAGTCGATTACGTCGAGCTTTGTTGTGTCCAAGTCATGGCTGCCTCCGATCTGCACTTGGTCCTGCGGAATGCACTGAAAATAAAAAAAAATTAGTATTACAATACAATGTATATCGAGAAGAAGAACGACATACTTTGCGCAGAGTGCCGGTTTCGGTCATACGAGCGACGCTGTGCAAGCTGGTTCCGCCGACCTCGAGCGCGATCACTTGGACGGTACCGGGATACACCGCTATTAGGGTGCAGTTGATCCGTCTGCCGTAATTGCGAAGCGTGAATGGATCCGTCATACTCACCGACAGGACATTGCAGGCTGAAGAAAAAATCTTGCGAGTCACGTGTTTGCTCCCACTTGTTAAAGAGAGTCGCGAGACTCGTTTCCAATTACGGGAATTAAATGGAATTCGACGAAATACACAGTAGAAAGAAGCAGTTGCGAATAATAATGCTAATGAGTTCAACGTACGATCGAAATGAGCTTTGAGCAATTTTATATCATGAGGAAAAAAGATACGTGCAGACGGAGAGAGAGAGAGAGAGAGAGAGTACTTATTTTATACTGCCAAGCGACGAAAAGAAACGAGATAACTAGTCTATCTCCAAGCTGAAATTTTGAAACCGCCGTAATGCGTCAGTGAGTTCAATTTCCGCAGAAAAAAAAAAAAAAAAAAAAAAAAAAAGATAAGAGACGTAACAATGTGAAATTCGGCTCGCTTTAGTTGGAATTAACTTGGGTTTGTTTCATTTACTGGACCGAGACAAGCGTAATATTCTCGTCCCTGTCAGTTATTAGTCACTTCAAATCATTTGTCTCTTCACCCGAATATTTGATCGTGGAAAGAAATTGGATCGTAGCAAAATAGAGCTTATTGTACCGGTATTTTTTTCTGTGTGTACCATTTCTTCTCTCTACTTATTTAAAAGGGGAAGACACCCTACTATTTTTTTCTTCCTACTATCATTATTTATATTTCTGTTCTGACATTTTATAGATCTCTCTCTAGTTTATTGTATTACCATAGATTAGACGATTCCTTATTAAAGCTTGATCTGTAGGATTGATTCTAGCTACGTCGAGGTATTATTCGATTAAAACGGTGTGAAGCCTGAATAATCGAATTATAGGGCTAAAACGTTACCACGATGTAGCCACGCATTTGCAATATTAATGTATTATGGCCACTTCACGTTACTATTCAGAACAGGTAGCATCGATTTTCCGACATTCATTACTTCGACTTGAAATGTTGCGTTCAAATATTTCATTAATTAAATTATTTAGAAATAGATCATGTTAGTCAAGGTAGAATTAAATAATAATCATGAATTAAAGGAAAATAATATGCAAATTTGTGTTAATTTTCTTAATTTTACCTAAATTCCGTAAATAAAATGCCGTTTTATATTTCCATATTATGTATACTTTTTTTAAATTATTATTAAAATAATTATAATTAATCCGAATATCGAATAAAATGCAAATATAGGAGCATATTGTTTGATTTCATGAATTCCTGAAAATATTCATATTTCTCTCATATTTTTCTATGCTCTTTTTAAAAATGTAAAATTATATCCGTACGCGAGCGAGATGTATATCTCTAACATTTTTCGATTGCGAGATTCTTCAAAATTCAGGCTAGTGTCATAATTAATTAAATTATACTCACGTCTCGGATTTTTTGGGTATCTCGCAGATACGACAAAGCCTCTCCCACGTAGAGGTACTCTATATTGGATGAGCACAGCGTTCTGTGAACTCGTAAAGATCTTTTTACCGCGATACCATCTGCTCTTACCACAGAACTCTGTCAATCTTTCCTTTATTGGTAACGGATGGTCGCCCTCGTTTGGAAATAATTCGCCGTTTAATTCCCAGCCATCGACTACCTGCCAATTAATTAATGAAAAATTTAATCGCTTCATAAAATTCGCAAATTTATATAAAATTGTTGTTGATCGTACAAAGTAAGTGCGCATTCTTTGGATTACCAAGTTGCATTTAATGTGTATTACGATATCTATAAGTGTGTAAATTTATTTGTTACATATTTATGATTACAAAAAATTTATAAGAAAAATGTTATAGAGGAAAAAGAGAGAGAGAGAGAGATAAGTATATTACATAAATTTAATAAATAATTGAAAAGTTGCAAAATGTAACAAAAAATTAAAAAAATCGAAATTTGAAATATACAGTTGCAATCATGCAAAGAAATTACATCTTGCAAAGACGCGTCGAGCAAAACTTCACTTTTCGTGCTGTTAGACACTTGTTCTGTGTAACGTTGACTTCTGCACGACACATGACGCACCGCGTCCGTCGTGGAAATTACACAAGTTTTACCCTACAGGAGTTTTCCATTAATAGCGACAAGAGGGAACAAGCGTGAATCGGGGAGGGAAAACTTCGCGATTCGATTTTTGCGTAAAATTGGCACATGCGCTGCGACAATTCGTTTACGGCGTCGTTGTTCCATGTATAGATAGCTTTCAAGGGTTTCGCTTATTGTCACTATGGATAGGAACAAACTAGTAGCAACATCTACAAGTTCTTCTTCTCGACATATATTCTTTTTCATTTCAACTCCCTCAAGAAAATTCAAAACTTTTGTTCGTGACATTTGCAAGGATTTTATAGCTTTTTTAAATTTATAATCTAGTGACTCTGACAGAAATATACAGAGAGAAAAATATTAGATTAGATATATCATGTGTTTTACTTTTTTCATTAACATTTTATATAAATCTTTTCTTTATATATAACAATTCGTCTAAGTAATAAATTTAGATATATTATTACGTTTATCGGTTTTAAAATAATCTTAAAATGATATGTTATTCTCGAATAAATCGTGTCTATAACGAAAAGACAATAGCTTTTTGTTTAATGATTCTTTTCGATACCTTAGAAATCGATTTAATTTACTGTGTCATTATTTTATCTCTTCGATTGGAAGTAAAATATTTGCGGGCCTGAAAAGTGACGCTTAATAGAAACTGATGATATTACATACCGCCAAGAGCCCATGATGATCGCAGGGAATGTCAAAGCTGTCGAAATGTATCTCTATTGTGCGATCTGGATCAGTTAAAAAATATATTCCACAAACGTCGTCACTGTCGGATGGCGATATGTAGGAGAATGGTCCACTTTCCGAAGTAACAAACATGCAGTCTGTAACAGAACACCAATAATTAAATTCTAAATGTTTTATAATACAAGTGTACTTAAATACAAGTGTTTTTCAATGTATTTGTCAATGCATTTACTATGAACTGTATTACAATGCAAAATTATTTTTACTATAAGATTTTACTATCCTTTTACATAGCTATAAAATAATGTAAAATGACGCAAAATAATGCTTATGTTTTATAAATTATTGTACAATAACATGCGATATCTAAATTAAAATAGCGTAATCTTCAAGGTCTGTAACATTTTTAAAACTTTCGCAATGATATTTTATAGCTAAGAATGTATATCTTAATAGTTATTTAATTAAATAAGAGACACTCAATGAGAAAAACATTTCTTTCGGCATAAAACAATTTTTTACATATATAATTATACGTGTACAATACGCGCTGATAAATTCCTTATTACAGTTATACATGTTCTGTGTGTTAATACATACCGTAATATTTTAGGATTTACGGATAAAGAGATAATAAATATTTGCGGATTAAGCGATATGATCAAAGAACATCAAAGAGAAAACGTAGAAGATATAATGGTGTTCAGCTTCATAAAAGATTATTATGTATCTAAACGCTAAGCACATAAGAAGATGTTATTAAATTTGCAGAATAAAATTAATATTTTAATTCTGACTTAGATTAAATACAATTTCAACTTTTGTTATTTTTGCAATTGTACTGTGATCTTAATCGTAGGTTTCGATGCGATTCGCAATGATCGCATGTGATTATCGGGTAATACATAATGCATGGAAAAATATACTAGCCCGGCCACTGTTGCGGAAACTACGCCATCCATCCATTAACGCGGTCCACAATTTGTGCAGTAACGCAGTTACCGTATCAAACGGCTCAATAGCGAGGCTTACAAGCGTGTGATGTGCTTCCGTTGTAACCAAAATACTTGGTTTATGTGTAGAACTATTTTTACACGTCTTACGACGGATTAACATGACTCTAAGTAGCTCATCGTAAATGAAAACCGGAAAAAATTTATATAAAATACACCGATTCACAACCGAGAAGTATTTTAAGAATATATATACATTATATATGGATTACGAATTATGCGATTATGTCGAAATTTTCAATGGAGAATTAGAGTTTAAGTTAAATAATAAAATATAAATTTTAATTATATAACGAAAAGATTGTAATAATATCTAAAATCTATGTATTTTTTAATTTTATAATAGAGATTTATAATGAAATATTTCTCTCTCTTCTCTTATAATATATACCTATAGAGTGTATAATTTATATCTCTCTGTTTGAAGTGAAGCAAATTGATTCAGATTTGATTAATTATGTTAATTCCAGGTTTAATAATTTAATGAACAATAAGCATAAATTAACATGTAAGTAAAGTGCGTGTGCGTCATCAATTTATATAATGTAAATATAGAATATATTAATTGGAAGATTGTTAATTAATCATGGTTGATATTTCGTTGAAATTCAAAAAATTCTTAGTAATTGTAATTTCTTAAGAAATACATAAATGAAATATGTAAGCTCTGAATTAATAAAATAATAAAAGCTCGATTGCATTTAAAGGATTCTTTTAAATGCAATTGTTTTTTATATAAATTGCAGAAAAATTCTAGTCATTATTCCACGAATTATTTTTCGATCAAGTGTATCCAGAATCATATTAAAACATTTTTATAAAAAATTCCGCGAGCTTTCAGCCACGATCTATTATTTGCACTTTATCAATCGTGAAAAATAATGAAAAACAAACATAGAAAATGTAGTTACTTTTATATACGAGTATAAATTGCGATATGTATCGTAATTTATAAGCTATCATAGTAATTATAGTTAATCTATAAGCTATCATCAAACAAAGGAACGCGGCTTTAGGTAAGCTCTCGAAATGTATACCGAGCAAATCTTTCCGAGCCCGGATTATCCCATTGGCGAATGCATTATCACTAGTTCCAATTATACGAGCAAACGCTATAGCGTTCGTCAAACATTAATAGCACGATATAATAGAAAAAAAAAATATCGATTGCATATTTGTTTAAACGTAGAAGCAAACGTTTATACCTAAAAAAACGCGCGATATAACGATAATTATAATATAAAGATCATTGATCATTAAATTCTAAATTGATTTTAAATAATTATTCTGATATACAATTTTACTTCTCTCTAAATTTTCATAGTCTATACCTTAACAATTCAAATGTAACAAAATACAATTGAAATAACAAGTTATTTAAAATATTATCTTCTTGCGTTTATACACATTACAAACAATGCATGTTAATTACTATTATATTATTCTCTTACCTGTAATCGGTTGATAATGTTCGCGGGATATTCCGAATAAAGTCTTCGCTCCCGCTTCATAAGCCAAGATATTGGCAGCTTCATTTATTAACTGAAAAAAGCATAATTACAACAAAAACGACGTTAGATTACACAAGAACAGACGCATGACAGTTAATCGAGTTATAATAAATCTAATAATACTTCTGTCTAATAGTAAATTCCACGTATAACGTCAAGTAATGCCAAACAAATTGGAGATTGAATTTCTCGATGAAAAATGGATTATCATTTGTATTCCGTTTTATTTGTGCATGTAAACAATTATTAAGAATTTCAATGTATATATTCGTAGAATTTCTGATTTATTACGTGACATGAAAAGAGAATCCCAGAATAAGATAAAACAGACTTTGATGTATAAAGTTATAATGTGCCTTTGTATTATATGCATTGAAAGAAAAAATGAAAGATGAGGCGGACAAAATGTCGCTAAAATAATGAATAGTTGAAAGAGAAATGAGACAAGATGTTCGAGTAATAAGACGACAATATTAATTTAACGATCGTGATTCCCTATTTAGAATATCTCTCTCAAAAAGTATATACCATATAATTCTCTCTTTTCTATATAAGCAATTTCAATTACATTAGATTCATTTCATTTTAATTGCTTGTTCACGGATGGTACGTAAATGAAAGACTTATTATGCGTATCGGGCAAACTTGGTATTTTCCCTTCGATATTTCGATATACAGTAAGTTTTGCGTAATATAACGATTGAAGTTTGCAAAGATCAATTTATATGCGCTTTCCTTTCGTATTTCTTACTTCTTCCTCGCGCAAAGCATTCAAACAAGTTTATATACGTTCAACATACCATGCAATTAATCGCTTTTTATCATTTATGAGAAAATATTGCATTTTTTTGGACAAATATTATTTACCAGATAACGTTTGTTTGATTATTTCTATTGCAATCAAACATATTCTGTTATTACTGACAACACAAATATATTAAACTTTTTGACCATATATATATATAATCCAATATTTGCTTTAAATGGCAAATTAATTTCTGTTAAATGCACAAAGCACGTGCAGATAAAATCTCCAAAGCGAACTAGACATCATATATATTTTGTTTTATTTATTTTATTTTATTCGCAGAGGATTTCTCTTGTTTTTATTTAATTCACAATACTATTCCATTTCTCTTAGTTTTCAGGCATCAAATTACACGATGCCGGATTCTCTGTCTCATACATTACACGATAAATATAAATTAATATAAATTAATATAAGGAATGGCAAATTATTTCGCAAGTGTCTCAAAAGGCATCTCGAATCGGTACCAAATTATCAAGGAATCTCCGTCGACGAGAGAAACAGCGTTACTAATAAAATATCCCGTACAGCGCTTTAAATTCGAGCGCAATCTCGTTGTTGCATCTCCGTTCGTGCTCCATCATTTTGTCGCGCTGGTACAAAAATCGCGCAAATTGCACTCCCCGCAACAAACACGCATGCTAGCATGCTGTATGAGCGCGAGGTAATATCCGCGTTATTTCAATTAACATTATTTCTCGACTGTCACCGCGAATACGAAGCCGCTATACGGAAAACCATATTCTCCCGCCTGCCAGATATAAACCTGTCTCGAAAATAATTGGCGAGGGATCGCGTCTGAACGATGGCCTCGGCGCGCAATTGCATATGGGTGCACTCGCCGATCGCAGTGCGTAAAGTAATTATCGCTAATACGGGCATGGCAAGATCGCTTCGTTATAATATAATGTAGAATACTTCGAAGTTTCTAGCTTTTGGAGAGATACGTAAAGATGAAGTAAAAAATTGATATCACAATAAGATACAATGTCGTATATGTCAAGAATAGGCACATAATTTCATTGCTGCATCTCTAGCTAATATTAGTAAGCACAATTTTATAATAATGTTTACGAGAGGCTATTCATTCAGGAAATCATTGAAGCACTCCGGTATAAAATCAAAATCGAAATCACGAGAAATCGGTTAAAATTAGAAAAAAATCTTTTGAAATCGAAGTCACGAAAATATCATTGAAATAGCTTGAAATCAGAATGAAATCTCTGAACTTTTGAAATCAGTATGAAATCACATGGTAGAATTAGAAATGATTTCAGAAATCACTGGTTGGATCGTATGAAATCACATTAAATCACATGGTTTTCTAATTGCTTGAAGTATTCATGAAATCGATAAAATCATTTGAAATCGACTTTAATCTGAAATCACTTGTTCATCGCACTTACTAGTGCATAGCCCCTCGAATATTTAAATAAATTTAATAAAAATTGAATAATTTGAATTTAATTTAACAAAGATTAATGTAGATTAAAGAATTCTTTTGTCTCTTTGTGTGCACACATACAGATTTCGCCTTTTATAAAAATTATAAAAAAATGAGGGAGAGAGATTTTATATATATTCTCTCATATATGTGTTTTTCTCTTTCATTTTATTATAGAACATTATAAGAAGCTCAACTTTTCTCTCTAAAGATGACTGAATGCTATTTATCTCTATCTCTTTGTAAAAGTGATGAAGAGAAGGCAAAAGGAGATAATTTACCTTAACTAACTAAAAGTGACTTGTGACTCGTTTAAAGATGAGGAACCAAAACTCGTTAAAAGTTGGCAAATGACATCACTTGTAGTAGAATTTAAAAGTTCTTAAAGCTTTCACAGCTCTCGAAACTCTTTTCTTCTGTTCTTTCGTTTTTTATATAACACAATTTACGTCACATTTATTTTTAATTTAACTTAATCTTTAAATTTCACAGAAAAGAGTGATATATAACTATCTCTTTTCAATTATTATATTATTAAGTCTTTTATATTTATACATATATTAAAATTTATTCTATATATACAATTATATTTTAGTATTCTTTTTTTATCGTTATTGAAATGTAATATATTGTTTTATATATACCATATTCATTTCTACAATTATTTTATTGCATAATTATGATATAATTATATTTCCACAAAACTTTCTTTATAAACACATTACATTGATTAAACTTCAACAAAGAAATGTAGTAAAAGAAGCTGATTAGATAATTAATTCTCTTAGAGCAAGGAAGGAGGGAAGAGCTTCTCTTATTGGTTGCGAAAGGAAGCTACGATAATTCTGTCATATGACGGCCTGCTGTAAGGGCAATTTTATCTTCATTGAGTTTGTTACGTTAAAATGATTCTTAAATGAATTGCATCTACTTTTAATAAAAGGAAAATGACAAGAAAAGCTGAAAGTATGATTGACAGTGCTAAAAAGATAAAGAAACTCTTAATTTTATCGATGAAGTGAGGCTCAATAGAAAATTAAGATTAAAAACTTTTATTTTATAAATTTCAAAACTAGTGTTTACATAAAAAAACACATTTTACTTTTTTAAAAGAGATATGCGATTGCTAATTTAATGTTAAGTAAGAGATATTGCAATAAATCGCAATAGTTTACTTTAAAATTTTTTCTATAAAAAATTGGTTAAAGAATCTGTAATTAAAATTAAGCTCAGAGATTATGAGAGAGAGAGAGAGAAAAATGGAGACATTTCATATATTAAAATAACTCTTCTTTGAGTAAATTTTTTATCAGGATAATTATTTGTATATGACTTTAGTATAGGCGATATTTTTTTCATTATAATTACTATTACTTAATAACTTCTTATAACATACATTAAAGAAATGCATACATTTTTAATGATTTTAAGATAATGACAATTTTCTCATTAATAGAAATATTACAGTATCATATATTTATTTATAGTGATAGAGTTTTGGAAATATATCTCGTATATTCCGTTCTCAGAGTCATCTTTATTAATTATTCAGAAATTAGCTCGAGAGAGAGAATGTGTAACGAAAACTTTGAAATATGATGGTAATCAAAATGCATATAATAAAGATATTGAAAAATATTGCAGTGTTTTTTTATCCCAGTATTTTTTTTTTTTTTATGATTAAACTCATCAATTTTCCTACATTTAAATTTTATTTTTTACCTTTATTCTCGAGAAAAAAATTTATTCCTTCAAATTATATATTATCGTGTATGTTTGACATATTATAAAATGCAAGATTTTAAATTCTACACAAGTTTTTTTCTCTCAAAATAATACTATATATCAATTTAAATCTAGAAAAATATATACTCAAGTAATACATATTTACCTGTTGCTGATGGTGATCATTGCCAATCGCTGCTCTCGCAACGTGAAACGCGCCGGCGACGATAATCAAGAGGATTGACGCTGAAATCGACTTGGAGAACATCTCTCACCGGTCAGGAAGAAACGGAATCGGCAAGAAGAATGACACGTGAATAAAGAACTAAACTTTTTTCTCTCTCTCCCTCTCCCTCGCGGCTGGATCAGCCTCCCTCTGCCTTTTCAATCGCTACCGAGAGATCGGAGAGCGCAAGATCGTGGGGTTGGACCGAGCGCGGCAGGTGTTCTGATGGCGTCGCGACGCACAACGTCCCTCTTATAGCCGCCTCGTCCACAGCCTCCTCCAGCTTCGTCCTGCTTCGGCTGCGCAACCCCGAACCTTATCGTTACGCTGTATAATAACTTGACACGTTGGATTTGGAAGCGTGGGCGCGCGCATGGTGCGCGATAATTGTCCCATCTAGGAGGACAAAAGTATTCCACCTGGTTGTACAGTTGTTATATGTTTTTACTACAGCGTTTCTTTCTTTCTCTCTAAAAAGTAAATTTTAGAAAAAAATTTCTTTTTATCAAGAATTTTACATCATTTATTTGCATCTTTGAAAATCAATTTGCAAAACGTGTCCTTTATTTTATTTTCCTTGTCGATCACAGCTCGACGATCACAAGCGCTTTGATATTTTTTCGATAAAATAACACGCTTTATTCTTATGTTCATGAATTTTGGATATCCTAAAAAACATCGAGAAAAAAAAATTAAAAGAATCAAATTTGTTTGGTCTCAATTATCTGTTATGAAAAAAATGAATTAATAAAATTCAAGACATATATACCTACACATTCTCTCTCTTTGTTTCTTTCTCTTTTTCAACTTTATATATTCAATAACAAAAATTTGTTTTTCGCGTTTATTTTATTTTTTGGTTTATCTCTCTGTATCCAATTTTACGTGAATGTCAAAGGAACAATAATTACCGACGTATTTTATTGCAGCTATTGAAAATTGTTATCGCGACGCTCTGCGTCAGCATCGAAAGCTATGACGAATGTTGTATTGCCAGGAAAGAGAGAGAGAATAGGTTGACATTTTAAATATTCTTTGATATTTGTGTTTACGGCGACGCCCGCGTCGTATCGGAATACACGATTGCAGCCGCACGACATTGAGATCCGGCAGGACTCGTGTATGTCATTCTGTCAGCGAGATGGACGTTAAACGATCACTCGATTAGCACAACCTGGAGAAATTCATCGTATATGTGTACATATATGTATCGTCTCGACATCGCGACGTCTTGTCCGGCTTTAATCTCAAAGTAGTAATTGAGATCGATGAGAGCGGCGAGGAGTCGTCGTCCGAGTGGCTCAAGGTAATGTCCTGTAAGCTTTACAAATGATTTTTTCTACAATGAAAATGCGCTGAGAAAGAGTGCGTTATTATGTTCGTTTTCTTTTCTTTTTCTCGAATTCAGAATGTTATTAAACATGAATATAAAGCAAGAGAATAGAAAATTATATAATTATATCAGAGTTAAATTTTTATCTAATTTTCATTTAATTATATCAAAGTTAAATTTTTATACAACAATAGATACAGAAAAATGTATCTCTTATAATAAGTGTAAATGGTTCATATGTTAGCCTTAAATAGTTTAAAGTCAGAAATTTGTTACTTTTGATATAATGACAGAAGACAGAAGAATGTTAAGAATGGCAGATGACAGAAGAATTTTAAATTAAACGTTGAAATCATAGGTAACTGTTCAATTGGTCATCAACTTTTGATGTTATTAGCAATAATAATATTTAATCGAAATACTCAATGTACAAAAAATCAAAATATTTCTATAATCGCATCACGATATAAATAGCGATGTAATAAATAATTAATATATATGCACTTTGTACCATGGTATGAAACGAATGATTAACGATTGATCGAAAGTTAGTTATAGTGTAAAAGATAATCGCCAGCCACGTCAGATACACAAAATTTTATATCAATTAAATTTGAATGTTTATTGCTTAATTAAACTTTTTCCAATAATCGCACGTTTATTATTACGGATCTCTATACATAACACGTAAAATACGTAGAGATAAAAATACAAAAACAAATAGCGATCAATATTTCAATATAGATCTTTTGCACGCGGTGGAGCCAAAGTACTCTATAAAGATCAAAACCATCCTATATAACGGTATCTATTTAGATGTAAATCATAGACATTGCGTATGCATGTTAGCCCATAGAAGTTAAACATGAAGAGCGCGTCTTGATGTAACACTGATGAATAAAATAACGCGATTTATCATTCGATAACTTTATCGAATTTACCAAACGAGTGACGGACGATCCTCGATGACATGTAATCATCCCCTTGACTATTCCATCCTACAGGGGAAATACAATTCAAAATACGATCAGTTAACAAACATTGTGATTAACGCATTACGATATACCGTATGTGTGCTCCTTCAAAATAATAGTTTTCCTCCTAAATGCGCGCAAAAGACAGTTCGTATCCTCGATACAAGGATTGCGCGTGTCATGGCAAAACGGTATGTTTCACGAATGGATTCTCATGTTTACGATGAAATTTAATACTATTAAAACGATGGTCACAAAGCGGAAACCGTTGCAAATAATATAGTATGCATTTATGGGTCTATCAATAATACAACCGCCGATTTGCAATTCTGCCATGGCGGATTAATTGATACACGTGGACGTCAGCGACCTGAAACGCTCTCCGTTATCGGTCTCCCGCGCACGTGCGGTCGCCAATTTGTCAAATTCGGAATAGAGTCATTGCTTTTAATTAATAAGAATTAACACTCTATTAAAATCCAGATTAGAAAAAATTTATCTCGGCGATACATTGTTCTCGGCAATATATATTCTAATATATTATATACTATATGTGTAATGTCATATCTCAAATATGATTTGGAGAATGTTTTTGCGTAATCGAACAGCTTGCGGCGAAATGTGCAACGATGGGTAAAAAAATATCTCGAAAGAAAAAATAAAACACAAGAGATCGCCTGTACGTGATTATTAATAAAATTCAAGGACTTTTCGCAATAAATAATTCAGAATTTCAGAAAGTAATGCCGACTGCTCACGCTTTTTCCTTGCTTTTATCGACAAGGGTACATTGCGCATTGCGTTGAAGCCTCTTCTTGAATAATTCGTATCTCCGAAACTTGTGGCGAGGAGCTAAGGATGCGGAGGCACGAAAAACGGATGCTCCTCCTCCTGGGGGAGCACCTGATGGCTCCTGTCATGTACGTGGTATAATCCGTAATTGACACCGCTTGTCGCTATCTTTTTCAAGCCTTGGATGCTGGACAATATAAGAGCCATTTTCGCAAGGATCAGAGCCTTGCCGCCCAGCACTGCGAGAAACTGAAAGCCCATCGGTACTAGGATCGAACCCATCAACAACAGACCTAACATCATCAGCGGCAGCATGTGATGACGGTGACGGTGACGATGTCGATGACGTCCTCGGCCTGGGAATTTACAAAATTAATTGTAAATTAGCTTCAAACTCGATTGCTTTGTAAAACTTGCGCTTACCTTGGACAATATTTCTGTTCGGACCAACATCGGACGATGCTGTGTTGAACATGTGTTCGACGTCAACTTTGAAAGCGTGAGTCCGCAGAACGCGTGCCAATCGATTCCAAATGACTGCTGACCAGCTGGTGTTATCTCCCGATCTATCGGGGAAATTATCTTTGTTGAAGAATCGCTGTATGTGTTTGAATTATAAACACGATTTTACTTGCAATAACGATACGCTATGTGCAGTAAATTCTTTAAAAATGCAATAATTTTTTTGTTTTAAACGCAGTAAATTTTGCAAACAAGCAATGAAGAAAGAGACAGTAGAGATATTAATTTAATATATATCTCTTTTTTTACAACTTTAAAACTTGTGTTATAATGTTCATCTTCCGAAAGGGCATATGTAATTATATCTGCGAATTAATCAACGATTTCGAAAACCACGGATGTCGTTTAGCGATATTACAATTTCTTCTTTGTCTGATTACACATGATTAATTTTATAATATATAATATGTGTTTCTCTCACAATAACTTTGTTACATCACCAACGGTATGTAACAAATGCTTTTACTCATATCCTTTCAATAACATTGTATAATCAAAAATTATTGAAAGTTTTCAATGCACAGCGCTCTGAACGTTAAAGCATGCGATAGATAACACATTCTTCCGAAATTTAACAAGAATTCTAATATAACAAATATTACGAACCGCTATAGGAAAATCCCTCCAATAACATTCCAGCTCCCCTATCTCCCTGATTAACGTATCTTTAGCCTTTGTCGAACAAATTCTATTTCTGACTATTACACCTACCTGTTTTCCCGCTACAACTCATCGAACTTGGCGGCCCCGCAAAGTTTATTTATATTATTCAATTTTTTTTATTTGGTTAATCTTTTATATTATATATAAAGAGAGACCAACTCACTTAAATTCCGTACTGTTCTCGACGTTCGAACGAAATCGTATCAAATCGATTCCCTCGAATATCGGAATGATGTCATCGTCGAGCAAGGCATCCATGGTGTTGACAATTCTCTGCTGCACGCATCCTTTAAAAATCTCCAATAATTCATCCTGGCCGGAACTGTTCCAGGACTCCGGTGAGCAATTTTTGAGTACAGACCGTAATTCGGAATACCATCTTGCTTTATCGTCACAGTCGGCCCTTACGACCGCAGTCAGTGCGAGGGCAAGGACGTGGAAAGCACGGGGGTGCATCTGCATTTAAACGCGTACGAGCCTCTCAGGACCGGCGATATCGATGTGGGTTAATGCTGCGTGGCTAAATTTTCTCTCTTTTTTCCTTTTACAGGGAATGTCTCTTGTTAAAAATTAACTTATTTCCCTTAAACTGCTCGCTTTCTTTAAACGACTCTTTTGCCAATATCGAGGGGCAATTTCTTCAAATAAAGATATTAAAACTGGCAAAAGAATATACAGCTCAAAGAAAGTTCTAGTAAACGACACCTTGTCTATTTATCTATATGTACACGAAGGCTATGAACAATACGAATCAATTTATAAATAAGAGAAATGGAAAACTCGAAATTAAAAAAATATTTTGGATCGTTTTTGCAACTTTTATTTCTATAAAAATATAAATTGAATTTAAAAAATGAATAATTTATGAAAATATAT